AATGAACACTTGTATCTGAGGCAGGGGAAACAGCCTTATATGGTGTTTTTGGGGTGGTAATTATGCTAATCTCCTCTCGCGTGCACGAGCAGCTGGATAGAACAGGTGGAAATTACGCAGCTCATTTACACACTTTTCCTGAAGATAGAAGTTTGTTGAATCTGACGTGACATGTTCGTACGAACACTTTGTACGAACAAAAGTAAGAGAAATTTAGGATAAGAATACGAACATGTTCCTGCATGAGGCCCATTGAGCTAAAATTTGTTGTTTGTAGTAGTCAAGTCATATCAAACATACTCTGAGTGATACACAAGATTTTTTCTCAAATTTTGCATTAACTGTCGCTGTGTTTATGTTAGCGGGGAAAAGTAAAAGTTCAAATAACCACGACAGCTTTTGAGCTACAAGAGAAATATGCAGCATGGGAAAATATGTCTAGCTCTTCGCCATGATCAACTTACGYAGATTTGATTTTTGATTTTATTTATTTTTTAGAGTGTCATGCACCATGGTAGGGTGCCCACCCTACATAGACTTATGAGAGACTACACATCTAAAAAGGATGTCAAGGTGGCCACCGAACAAGCTTCCCAAACATTTTAAAACATTTATGGAAAATTAAATCCCATAACCAAAAAAAGATATACTATCAAGGATACAAAACTATCTTCATTGCCAAACTTGTTCAATAAATGTTGCTAACAAAAAACTCTCTTCATTAAATAGCCAACTTAACATATATGCTTCAGACAGCCAAACAGAAATCATTTCTCAAGTCATAATACAAAGAATGGCGAAACATCAAATGGAAGCTGGAAATACGGTTTGATCACCAAGTGAAATTTCTACCCAGTAGTGGTGAAGAAGTCCAACTGGTTTGATGGCAAATCACAAGGTATTTCGTTTTACTGATCAAATAACATTAGCACWGCATGAACAGTGCTGACAAAATGGGTGGAGGGTGCAGCATGCCTGACTGAATCAACTCACTGTGGAATGGTTGGTTAAAAAAAACTTTTGGGGAAAAAAAGGTTTGCATTATCTAATAAAACAGATAAAAGCTATAAGATGAGGTTTGTCCCAGGGAGGATGTGACTTAATCAGCTTGGCTAACTGCCTGGTCAATATTGGTCTAAAAGCAAATGTAGCTGTGCTCAGCTCAGACTGAAACAATCAGCCTTAATTAGATAAGCTGTCAAGAGTCTGTGTGTGAACTATGCATTGCACTGATCTAATGCAAATCATGCTCTGAGCAGAGACAATGACGTAGACTGAACAACTCCAAACCGCTTTTGCTTTTATGCCTTATGCAAACAAAATTATGCGTGTTAATAATTCATATAAAGATGTGGCATAAAAAGAGGAGCTCGTTAATTTAAACTCGTGAAAGGAACAGCGGCGCACAGTGATGACAAAGCTCAGTAAAATAAATAAATAAGACTTACAAGGCACTGCGTGACGGTACAGGTTTTCTCGAATGGTCTGTTGCAGCTCGTGGTCAGCTGACGACTTCTGGAAGCGCTGGGTTAGATACAGCTTCAGGTCCTTATTTAGCTTAGTTCCTGTCATTGTGAACATAAAAAACATGATGTTAGAGGATAGAAACAGCAGCTGTAAAAAGAGTCAAAATGACACAGCTCATCTGTAGTTGTCCCACCTTTTGCTCCCATAAAGTGAAGTTCAGAAAGTTTGTCCTGTTTGTGTTCAATGCTATGACCTGTAAACCTACCACTGTCCCTCAGAAGGGGAACTGACTGTTTCTTCTGCCAGGCTGGGATAGCCAAAACTAAAGACTGCTAGCATTACGGCTAACAAAACGAAGCAGCCCTCCCACGGCTACACCATCTGGACCTCAGACACACATGAGGCTACTGAAGGGCAACACGGCTGGAGCGTGTCCATGTGTGTGCGTCTGTTCTCTTCTGAATGTGTGTCTGCATGTGTACGGGGCTATTACGATGAGTGCCCACATTGTTGGCATCGCCAAGCATGTGCAAACAACACAATCAGTGTGACAACATAACAGACAAAGAGAGCGAGGATGGATACAGTCAGAGGAAAATGAGATTATTCACTTAGTGAAAAAAACAATGACTTAATCGAAATTCGTAACCATATTTCAGGCAGCAACAAGCAACTTATCGCTTTGCACTGTATATTACTGCACGGCCAATTATTTAGTATGCTAATAAATTATTTCCCCCATCTTCGTATGGCTGCTAAGGACAATTTTAGTTGTCTAGGGCAAACAACCAGTCATAAAAGGCCCTGGATCCTGTTTCCATGGAAACTGTATGCATGTGTGTGTGTGTGTGTGTGTGTGTGTGTGTGTGTGTGTGTGTGTGTGTGT